TTTAAAAATAATGTGACATTTTGCCAGGATCCAAAGTCCAGTTCTGTGGGCTGTAATTTACAGACGCTAGACTCCTGGCACAGGTGTTGATGCTTGGTTTCTGGGCAAGTGGGTTATAGAAGAAGAGAGTGGAATCTTGAAAAAGACAATGGACTTTGGATCGCTCATTCATTCATTCATTCAACAAACACTTATGAAGTGACTGCTTATGCAGGACCACACTGTGCTTGGCACTGAGGGAGATACAAAGGTTAGATGAAATATGGTCCCTGACCTCATGAAGTCTTACAGCCTAACAGAGGGATAAGGCATCAACACAGATAACTATAATGCATACTGGTAAGTGCATTAGGGATGGGCTATCTGAGGTCTGGGGAGAAATATCCTGATGTGGGGAAAGTTCTCTGGAGGAGGGATCATTTGTACTTTAAAGGCAGGGTAGAAAGAGGCAAAAAGAAAAGAAAGGAAGATAAAATAAGACATTTCGGGCACAGGGGACAGCGTGAGCAGATATGATCATAGCTAGCATTTATATAGCTCTTTATGATTTGCAAAGCATTTTACATATATTAATCTCATTTAATCCTCACCACAACCCTGGGAGGTAGATGCTATTATTATCCCCATTTTACAGATCAGGAAACCAAGGCAGAAAGCAATTAGGTGACTTGCCCACGGTCACACAGCCAGTAAGTGTCTGAGGCTGCTTTTGAACTCAGGTCTTCCTAATCCCAGGTCCAGTGCTCTATATCCACTGCGCCACCTAGCTGCTACATGAAGAATGGAGAGTGAAGGGTCTATCGGCATGCTCCGATACTTCCTCCATATACAACCCTAGGCAAGTCATGAAATTGTAGTTAAGTTAAAGAACTTCTCTGAATTTATTTCCTCAAATGTGAAGTGAGAACAATAATGCCTATAGGACCTATCTGCCCACCTCCCAAGGCTGTCATGAAATCACTTTGTAAAGCTTACAAATTTTAATGTTTTATTATTTATTGTTATATTATTGTTATATTTTATGTATTTATATTATAATTAAATGTATTATATGTTTTAAGTTTAATGATTTAAATGTCTTATTATTGTTACTAGGAAGAGGGAGATGGGGCCCAGATCTGTTATTTCCTTAGTATGGGGAATTCCCAGATAGGAAACTGCCTCTATCCATTCAAATTAGCACTTTCTTCCCAACTTAGAGTCTTAGAGGGTTGTTCATTTGTTTCAAACTCTTCCTGACCCATTTGGGGTTTTCTTGGCAAAGATACTGGAGTGGTTTACCATTTGCTTCTCCAGTTCATTTTACAGGTGAGGAAACTGAGGCAAACAGGGTTAAGTGACTTGCCCAGGGTCACACAGCTAGGAAACGTCTGAGTCTGGATTTGAACTCAGGTCTTCCTGACTCCTGGCCAGCATTCTCTTCATTGTGCCACCTAGCTGTCCTTGTTGCCTGGGGTTAAATGATTTGCCCAAGGTCACAGAGCCGGTATGTATCAGAGGTGAGACTTCCACTTGGGTCTTCCTGGCTCTAAGGACAGCTCTCTTTCCATGATGCCATGATTATTGCATTAATTAATTTATTGATTAATGAATGATGCCATGCATTATTACTGTTACTAGGAAATCAGAAGTCAAGAGCCAGCATCAGAAAGGAGGTGGGATTGGGGGGAGAGAAGTACAGTGAGACATGGAAATAAAGAATAGTGCAGGTGAGTTGCCCATAGCTAAAAGGCTCCTGTCCTGCTATGGCTATTAATCACAGCTCTCTCATGGTGTTCTAGGCCCAGCCTGACTCAGGCTAGTGACCTGGTAGTTTGTGATTGATTTCAGAGTGAAATGAGACATTTGCAGGTAATTCAAAGGTTAGCCAAAAGAATTTTACTTAGTCTTAGTGGAACAATATTCAACCAAGATATACACTAAGGACATCTAGACTTGAACCAGCTAAGCAAAGGTTCCCTGACTTTGAATTGTCCATCATGGTCTGACAGTCGTCAGACAGCACCTTGGAGCTGATTTGTATTAAGACAACCAAGAAGGCAAGTCAATAACCAGAATCATTAGTTCCCTAAGCCAGTCAAGTCTAAAGGATGGTTTTGATCCCTTTTAAGGGAAAACTAACCTAGCTTACAAGAGGTGGGTAGGTAAGTAGAATATTGCCCCCACCACATTTGGCTGCATTGCCATTTCTGTTTGGGGCTGCAGTAGCCATATTAACTAAGGAAATCAGACACAGGGAATTCTACTGCTGTATTTTGGGGAGATCAGTTATGATTTCTGCATATGGAAGTTTGAGGGTGAGGCTAGATGAAGTCTGTGGGTGTGGCAGAGCCATGCTGACTGAGAAAGTGGGGTTCTTAGACATGTTCCCCATGTTGCCCTCCCCCCACACTCCTCTGCCTAGAAAAAGCGTAGGGGGAAAGGGAGTGTTGTGTGTTCTAAGGTATTGTGTTCACCATATGTCTCCATCGATTTCTACTATCCGAAAATTAAAAGTCTGTACCCAGAAGCAAGAGCCATGGAGATGACAAGATATGAAGCAACTGCAGCCTTGAGTACTTGAGTACACATGATATTTCTGTAGATAAAGGCTTTTTCACTTTAGATCTCCTCGTACTTCTGTAATGCATTTATGTAATGTTGTCTATTGTAGTTATCGGTATTGTGTTCTCATAGAATCTCTAAGATTAACCCCTAGAGGAATCCCTCTCTACAATATTTTCTTATCTCTCTCTCTCTCTGTCTCTGTCACAGTCTCTGTCTGTCTCTCTCTTCCTCTGTGCCCAATATCCCTACCAAGCAGTCATCTAGCCTCTGTACTTGAACATCTCCCATAGCATAGAATCCACTACCTTCTAAGGCAGTTCATTCCACTTTAGGACATTTGATATGCCCTTGCTAGACTATAAAAGCCACAAGGGAAGGATCCAAGTCTAAGCTAAACTTTGTATCTTCCCTTATTCACTAACAAACATAGTGCCTGGCACACAGTAAATGCTTGCTAATGTTTGTAAATTGACTTGACTACTCTTTGAGCCAATGCCCCACCCTGGTTTCATTGAAGGGAACACCCACAATTCAATTACATTCAATGAACATTTTAAAGTAATATTTTAAGTAAGGAAAAAAGCCCAGAGAGAGCAATGCCTCCGAGGAGGAAAGAATATATAGAAGGTTGTATGGTCAACAGTGTGAAATGTTACAGAAAAGACTAGGAGTATATGTATGTACACACACACACACACATATGGTAGGAGCAGGGTTTGGAAAGGGAGCATGTGGCAAAAGGAGAAGCATCCTGGCTATTGGCAGAAGCTTGACAATGAAGCGTGGATCCAGTGGAAAGAGTCTTGGGTCTGATGCTGAGTGAAGTGAGCAGAACCAGAACATCGTACACAGTAACAGCAACATTGTTCGATGATCAGCTTTCATAGACTTTGCTCTTCTCAGCAATACAACCATCTAAGACAATTCAAAAAGACTTATGATGGAAAATGCTACCCACATCCAGAGAAAGAATTATGGAGTCAGAATGCAGAGCGAAGCATATGGTTTTCTTTTTTTTCTGCCCTTTCTTATGGTTTTTCCCTTTTGTCCTGATTCTTCTTTCACAACATGACTAATGTGAAAATGTTTAATATAATTGTACATGTACAGCCTATGTCAGATTGCTTGCCGTCTTGGGGAGGGGGATGGAGAGAGACATTTGGAACTCAAAAATCTTGTGGAGGCAAGTGTTGAAAACTACCTTGACATATAACTGGAAAAGGTAAAATACTATTAAGTGGGAGGAAAAAAAGGAGCCTGGGTCTGGAGTCAGAATGAAGGAGTTGGGGAGGAAAGTCCTTGAGAGCAGAAGAGATCATTCAATCTGTTTCCTTCATCCCAGAGGAGAGATGGAGTTCTACCAGGACAGACTATTATATACATTGTCAGTCTGGGGGACAACTAAGGCAGAGAATGGTACCATAGTCTCTGTGGGGAAGCTTAATTTTTTTTTCCTTTGTAAGGAGTAGGTTTACTAGGGAAGTGACTGCCAAGTAAAAGCAAAAGGCAGATTTTTTTTTTAATGGAAAGATGTGACTAGATAATCTCTAAGACTCCCTCCAGCTCTAACTCGCTGTGGTTTAAGACTCCTTCCAGCTAGGACTTTCTACGATTCGATCGATGAACGTTCCCCTGTTTCCACTTGAAAAGCTGCCATCGGGGAAAAAGGGATTGAACTTGTTCTGCTTGGCTCCAGAGGGCTAAAACGAGGATCAGGGGGTGGAAGTTGGACCAAAGGAGATTTAAACTCAATAAAAGGAAGAACTTGCTAACATGTGCAACTATTCCACCGAGAACTCACCATTGGGCTCTCTGTCACTGGGCCATGCGTTGGGAGGGTGCACCTCTGGGGTCTGCAACAACTCTAAGAATACATGCAATGCCCTCCAACTCCGCAGGTTCTGATTCGGGTTCCCCTCTTGAATGCAGGATCTGGGGCTGTTTGGAGGAAGGAGATGAAGAGGTGAGAGGGAGATAGAGAGAAGAAAGGAAGGGAAAGCAGCGAGGGGAGAGGGGAGGAGGAGAAGGTGGGGAGCGAGGGGAGAGGGGAATAGGAGGGGGAACGAAGCTGTGGGCAGGAGTTATATAAAGGGCTGTTGTGGGGACACTGCCGACTGCTGACGGAGCCAGAGAAATTTGCAGCGTGGATCTTGACATTCCGGTGCGTCTGGCTGGCAGACCAGGAGCCCGAGGTCTCCAGCGCTCCCCACCCCGGACCCTGTCGTGGCACATAGAGAGCGAGTAGGACAGAGAAGGGGAGCTCCGGTCCCACCCTGCTCTGCACGACCCAGTCCCGCCCTAGCCCGGGGTCACCCTCTCCTCTTCACCCACCCTTGGGTCCTCAAGGGCGCCCTCCCCTCCACTGGCGCCCTCCCCTCCACTTCCACCCTCGCTCTTTGTGACAGCAATACGAGAAGTCCTCCTGGAAGAAGGCAGGAGGCCGGGCCGGGACCATGAACCACTCTGGGGGCGCGGGGCCGGGGTCGGAAGTCAATGCCTCCTTTCCGGCACTGAACGAGTCCTCCTGCCAAGGGGCTGGGGCTGGGAACGGCTGTGCCAACAGCTCCGGGCCGTCTGGGCCTCCGCGCCTCGTGGACGCCTGGCTGGTGCCGCTCTTCTTCGCTGCCCTCCTGGTAGTGGGATTGGCGGGCAACTCACTAGTCATCTACGTGATCTCTAAGCACAAGCAGATGAGGACCGTCACCAACTTCTACATCGGTGAGCCGGGAGAGGAACCCCGCCCCCCATCAGGCTGAGGGGGTCCTCTTCTCCCCAAGAACTCCCCTCTGGACCTGTTCCCCAGTGACTGGTACAGGATCTCCTGCAGGGAATGCCGTGTTCCTTCTCCATCCCTAGCCCCTTGACTTTGCCCATCGCTGAAGCCGGCAGCTCAGAGGCTCGGTTCGCCCTCAAGGGAGGGGGGTGCTTTCTTACTTAAGTTCATTCAGATTTCCCGCAGCTGAACGGGATTTTTTAGGGGAGAAGGGAAGGCGCAGGCTCCAGACTCCCATATCTTCAAACTGTTAACCTTGGCGGCAGGGGTGGAGAATGGGGATGGGAAGGAGGAAAATTCATTCAAGTCTGGCCAGCCACCTCTTCCCGGACTGAAATGTGGAGTTTTGGCCCAGTTCTGGGGCCCTATTTTAGGAGGGGAAACTGGAGAAAATAGAGGAGAAAGAGGCTCCATCATTGTCTTGGCCCTAGAAGGGAGAACTAGGAAGGAAAGCCCAGAGAAGTCCATTTTGGTTGAATATAAGGGAAAATGTCTTACCAACTAGAGCTGCCCAAAAGTGAAATGGCTTGTCGGGGGAAGTGGACTCCACATTGGACGTGTCTGAAAGGAGGCTGGTTGTCCATCTGTGGGGGAGACTGGAAAGGAGATTCTTACACTGGGCAGGAGTCAGTCTCCTGAAACCCTACTGCCTTGAGTCTATGAAGTGGGGATGGAGAAAGGACACTCTCAGGTTACAGTAATGTATAGAGAGTGTGCTGGATTTGAAGTCGGAGGGCTACAGGTTACATCCTTACTCTATTTACTTGTTGTGTGATCTTGGGCAAGTCTTTTACCCTCTGAGTCTGTTTTTCTGTCCTTTGAATAATGAGTTTGGACTAGATGTCTCTAAGGAGCCATCCCCCTCAGCTCTGACATCTATGTTCTGTGTTGCAAAGTATATTTTAACTCTAACTCTAAATCAATCCTACAATCCTTTAGTAAAAACAGAGTCCTCTTGCACTGGACTGGGGATAGTAATGGACCCCTTTAGGAAGCTGGGGAGCTGGATTTGTAAAGAACCAGGGACTAGCTGGCTAAGGGCACTGAAGCCAGTGGTCTGAGGCTGGGAAAAGGAAGTCGGTGGTGGGTGGACAGTACCATAGCCTGGTCCCTGTATCCTACCCAGACTCCTGGAATTTAATAGGGGAAAATAAGGTACAAAACAGTGAAAGGCCTGCCTCCTTGTTGGTGATACCCACAACAATTTACAAGGAAGGCAGGGAAATCACACTCCTTTGAGGCAACTAGAAAAAGGATGCTGTTTCCTCTTTCTGGGAGGGTTTGGCAGTGTCTTGAAAAGGAGGGCATTGCTGGGGAGAATAAGATGATTTCTGGGAGTCCCAGCTGATGAGGCAGCTTGTGAACGGGCCATGAAACAGTGTGGGGAGTAGGGAGGGCTGGATCTCTTGTTGGCAGTGTTGGGGGGAGGCGTGGTAAGAACTTCAACCAGATTTGTCCTTCAGTTTACCTGTCTTCCCCCCTTTCCCACCCTGTTCCCCCTCATCCCACTCCAGCCAACTTGGCAGCCACAGACATTATCTTCCTGGTATGCTGCGTGCCCTTCACGGCTATGCTCTATCCCCTTCCCAGCTGGGTCTTTGGAGAGTTCATGTGTAAGTTTGTCAGCTACATCCAGCAGGTGAGGAAGGGGCTGCGGGGTGTCCCTGTGCAGGGGAGGGAGCTGCCCTCATGGCCCTGCCCAGACTGTCCTCAAAGCACCCTGTGGCTGCTCACTACCCGCTTCCCACCTCCCCATTCCTCCCCTCTCCTCTCCAGCTCTTTTTCTCAGTTTTTCTTCCCTTACTCTCCATCGCTCTCCTCCTGTGTTCTGTGGCCACTCCTCACTGCCTATTTCTCCCTCCAGCTCCTCTTTTGTTTTTCTTCTCTTTCACGATCCCTGTCTGGCTCTCCCCATCTTCCGGCTTATTTCTCCTCTTCACCTCTCCCAAACCCTTCTGTCTATTTCTCTTTTCCTTTGCCTTTCTTTCTCCTCTTCTGTCTGGTTCCCATCTCTACCTCTGTGTCCCTGTCTGTCGTCTCTGTCTTCCCCTTCCGCCGCTCTCCTCTCCCTTCCCTGGCTGTCACTATGTCTCTCTGTGTCACCACCAGGCTGCCTCTTCCCCTGGCTGTCTTGAGCAATTGCAGTTTTTCAGTCCCTCTCTCGCATTTCCTGTATCTTCATCTCTTCATTTTCTCTTTGCCTCTGACTGTCCCTCTTCCTTCCCCTTCCATTCTGCCTCTGCCTCCTCTCTGCATATCTCCTGTTATTATTTCCTTCTCTCTTTGTGGCTCTCCTCATTCTCCGTCTCCTTCTCTCCTTAGATCTCTGTCCTTCTCCCTTAAATTTTGTCCCTTTCTTTCTCTGCCTCTCTTCTCTCCCTCCCTCTCTCTCCAATTCCCATGTTATTCATCTCTCTCTGTCTCTGCCTCCTCTCTCTCTTTCTCTCTCTCTCCCCCCTTCCTTTTCTCCATCCCTTTCTTCCCTCCCTCCATCCTTTGTGTTCTTTGAGGTCCCCTGTCTCTTTCCCTCCTGTAGTATGGTCCTCCCCTTCTCTTTCTGCCTCCATTTCCCTCTCTTCTCTCTTATTTCCCCTTGACTCTCCCTCTCTGTGCTTCTCTCCCTTCTTCCTACCATCACTCAGTTCAGTTCAGTGCATGGAGCACCTACAGATTTATGTGTGCTTTTGTGCTCAGGGCTGGGTTGAGTAGGAGCCCGCCTCTCTCCGTGCTTCCTTCCTCTTTCTTCTTCCCTACCACCTCCTTGTGGCAAGACTTCAGCTACATCTCTTTCCCATTCTCTCTCTCTCATTTGGTATCACTCCCTGCCTTCTAAGTCTCTCCATGACTCTGTCTCTGCTGTCAGTGACTTCGTGCCCTGCTCTGAGCACCCTGGAGGACTGCCCCCTCCCACCTCAAGCGTTACACATGGTAGTTTAATAATAAATTGAAGTAGATTTGAATGGTCATTTTGCTGTCCTTGCACCCTTCTTCCTCTCTTCATTCTCTCAGCACAAGGGGTAGGGGCTGCTCTTTCCTCCAGTGACTGGGAGCACTTGATGTCCGGGTCCTCACAGGAGAAGCCTCCAGGGGCTCTGACTCCCTCCAGGACTGTATGGGGGACGTTAGAGCTAGATTGCTCTAGCCCCAGGAGCCCTCCAGGGCCTCTTTCCACTCCAATAGTCTTAAGGTTCTTGGAAAGGTGATGGTAGACTGAAAGGAAACTGGGGCCATTCCCCCAACCTACTTGCCCTAAAAACAGAATCCTTTAGGCAGCTAGGTGGCATAGTGGATAAGCACTGGGCCTGGAATAAGAAAGACCTGAATTCAAATCCTGCCTCAGATACTTACTTTGCTTTGTGACTCTAAGCAAGTCACTTATTGTTGTTTGCCTCAGTTTTCTTAACTGTAAACTGGGGATAATAATAGCACCTGCCTCCCAGGATATAGTAAGGATCAAATGATATATCTGTAAAGAGCTGATATACAGCAGGCACTTAATAAATGCTTATTCCCTTCCTTTCCTTTCCTCTAGACCCTGGGGGGATGGGGGTGCCAAGGAAGGCATGACCCAGGGAAGACTGCATGAAGCTGGGGGGGCGGGCTTCAGATGAATATAGGTGACTTATAGTGACTAGAAATGGAGGGGAGACAAGAAAGCATTTAACCCAGGGAGAGGCACCACAGATCTGGAAGTGGGAGAAGGGGGATGTACAGGGCAGGAAAATGTGACGTCCACAGCCAAGAGGAGGGGTTGGGGGAGGCTGGGGCCAGAGAGGGGAATCAAGGCCTGGGAGAATGGGGGTTGGGACGGAGGGGCGAAGGATAATGACAAGGAAATGGGAAAAGTGCTGGAGGTGGGCATGGTCGGGGGAGGGCAGGGATTAATAATTATCCAGTAATTGGAGGGGGAAATAAAACATTATTCTTAAATAACAATAATTAAAAAAAAGAACTATCCCAAAGTGGGATGGGCCCCCTTAGGAGGTGGTGAGATCCTTTTCTTTGGAGCTCTTAAAGAAGAAAGGGGATGATGACTTGTCTGAGATGCTGTAGAGGGACTATTTATTCAGGGTTGGCCTCAGCCATTGCTGAGGTCCCTTCCAACTGGGAGATCCTCTAACAGTTGGGGGTGGGGTAGGGCAAAGGGACACCAGGAATAGAGGAGAAAGACTGGGGGGACCTGGGCCACCCCTGCTCTTTCCAGGTGTCCGTCCAGGCTACTTGTGTTACCTTGACAGCCATGAGTGTGGACCGTTGGTACGTCACCGTGTTCCCCCTCCGTTCCCTACGCTACCGTACCCTCCGGCTGGCCTTTGCTGTGAGCCTGGGCATCTGGGTGGGTAAGTGCTCAGGGCCTTGGGGAGGCTGCCCCAGAAGTGACTGGGGTGCCTGGGGCTGCCACGCTTTGTTATAGGGAGGGGGTAGAGACGGAGCATCAGAGACCTGAGCACAGAGCCTCTTCCTGGAGGTCTGGTGAAGCACCTCAGGCTGGGGTTCTGACCTAGCCTGATGTGAGTCAGCTCCTAAGGTCCTAGCTCCCACTGGAGCAGAACTAGGGGATCATGGCCCCAGAGTTTTACTGATAGTCATTATTCTAACTCATGTATCCCCAGCATTCTTACATCGCTTCTCTGATTCGGAGGAAAATCCCTGCTACTTACTAACTGTGTGACTTTGGACAAAGTCACTTCCCTTCTCTGGGCCTCAGTTTCCCCATCTGTAAAATGACAAAGAACTTGAGATCCTGCCTCATTTCGCTGAAGGAAAAGGCAGCCTCCACCCTTTGTTTTTTTTTTATTATTAATTTATTTTGGTTTATCAACAATCACTTCTGTAAGCTTTTGAGTTTTTAATTTTTCTCCCCCTCCCTCCCCACCTCCCTCCCCTATCTGATATAGCAGCCTCCACCCTTTGGACTGGGAGGACAAGGAGAGAAAGAGGGACACAGCGGGAGCGGGATGACCATTCAATTCCACTTTAGGAAAGGGTTGATTTCTCCCCATGCCAGGGTCCTTCCTGGTGTCCATCCCTGTGCCCATGTACAACCGCCTCACCGAGGGCTACTGGTTTGGGCCACAGACATACTGCATCGAGGTGTTCCCGTCTGTGACCCACGAGCGCGCCTTCATCCTGTACAACTTTCTGGCCGTCTACCTGTTGCCTCTGCTGACTCTCTGTGTCTGCTACGCTGCCATGTTGTACCAGATGGGACGGCCCACTGTCGAGCCAGTGGCTGACAATAACTACCAGGTGTGCCTGGCCCTCTCTCCAGCCCCACATGCCCTACCCACCATGGGTGCTGGGGAGAATAGAGAAGGTGGCAGGTGATGCAGCCCTGCCTTCGGCAAGCCCCTCTGGGATGTTCAATAGGGGTACTCAGGAGCCTGAGAAATCACTGAGTCCACTCCAGTCCCCAGACAAAGGAAACTGAGCCCCAGAGGTGCCATGTTCAACGTTGTGCAGGTAGTGAGAAGCAAAGCAGAAGTAAGAGTAGAATCTTCTGACTCCAAACCATCCCCAGGATATCATCACAGAAGTAAAATGAACTGCCCCTTTGATAAGTAATAAATTCCTCATTATTATAGTTCTTTTAAGGCTAGAGAGACCCTATCTTCCAGCCCTGTCCTTTTACAGATGAAGAAACCTTGGCAGGGACTTGCCCAGGGTCACACAGCTAGTGAGTGTCAGAAGCACTTTTTGAACCTAGGTCTTCCTTACCCCAAGCCTGGTTCTCTGTTGGCTAGGACATGCTACCTTCAAGCAAAGACTGCATGACTCTTTCTCAGGGAGATCGTAGAGGGCATTTCTGTTCGGGTTTGGGGACTACATAGTTTCTGAGTTCCCTTCAAATACTGAGATTCTGGGGGCCTGGAGTGATTTAGGAAAAAAAAAACATCAATTAGCCTTATCAGTAACAGTCCCTCAAAGGCTACCCCAGTACAAGAAGGTCAGACTCCTGACCCTCACTTTCTCTTGTGTCATCAGGCCTCAGGCTCTGGCTCAGTGGGACCATCCATTGAAATATGGCTAGATAGCACAATGGATAGAGCCTAGGACCTGGAGTTAGGAAGACCTGAGGTCAAATCATGCCTTCCACACTCATTAGCTGTGCGACCTCTCCTTTTCTTCATCTGTAAAATGGGGGTAATAACAGCACCACCCTCCCAGGGTTGATGTGAGGATAAAATGATACAACATTTACCCATCTTAAAAGCACTATATAAATGTTCACAATCATTATTATTATTACTATTATCCACATTCTCCCTCTTCAACCCCAACCTGGGGTTCCAATGTGACCAAGGATGTTGAGGAAACAGCTAGGGCTCTGCCCCAGGGAAGCGAAAAGAGTCTTACAGCAGGCAAGAGGTCTATGACTTATCCAAGGTGGCATGTAATAGAACACAGATTTGAACTCAGGGCTTTAAACTCCTTTATTTCCTCATGCCAGGATGCCTGTGACCTTCTCTGTGGGTCCTTCTTTAGATCTTGGTTTACTCATCAGTAGGCAGCCTGACACCCAGAAGGTCTCCCCAATACTCCCACCCACTGTACTGAGTCCAAGGGCCACAAACGCTGCCAGTTCCTACTCTCTGATCAGGCTCCCAAGACCCAGCATTGCAGGGCTCAGACTGTGGATGATTGGGCAGAATCTCCTTAGAGACAGTTATCACCTTCTACATCACACATCCTTGCCCCAGACCTTTTGAGAAGGGGTTGAGTGAGGAAGTATGAAGGATCACAGGGTCAGGGTTGGAAGGGCCCTTCAACTCTAGAGAGCCTAGCCCACCAAGGGCAACAAGCGTCCCCTTATAACGGGGGCACCCCTCACCACTGTCCCTACCAAATGGTCATCCTTTCCAACAATAAGTGGTGGCCAAAAGAGGAATGTGTTCAAAGGGAGGGACTTCTCAATTACTAGAAGCCTTAAAGAGGAGGCCATGTTGGCCATTGTTGGAAAGTTTGGAATCAAGCTGGGAATGTATCTCTCTGCAACCCTCTGGCCTTAGTTCTGCCCTTGGGCCAAACGGAAGGGTCTAATCCCCACTCTTCATGATGGCCCTTCAAACACAAGGACAGCATGCGTGTCTCCCCAAGTCATCTCGTTCCCAGGTTAAACACTTTCAGTCCCTATGATTGATCCTTGTATGGTCCTTGTATGGCAAGGTCCACACTCCTCTGGATGAAGGGAGTGAGGGTGTGAGAGGGGAGGAGCCAGCGCTGGTTAGGAGCTCTGTTTAACAGCTTCTGTGGTTTGTGCCTCTCTCCTGTCTTCTTCCTCTATCTCTCACTTCCTCCCTCTCTTCTCCTTTTCATCCTTCCCACCCTTCTTCCTTTCTTCCATCCTTCTCACCATCCTTCTAACATTCCTGCTCTTCCTTTGGTCCCTCTCTCCATCTTTCCTTTCCCCCCATCTATTCTTCCCTCCATCTCCTGTACTTATCCTTCCTCCTCCCTCCTCCCATCTTCTCTATCCATCTATTTCTTCTCATTATTACTCCCTCCTTCCATTGCTTCTTCCTTCTATTCCTCTTTCCATTCATCCCTACTTCTTTCTTCCATCCCTCCTTCCTTCCATTCATCTCCTCTACCTCTTCATTCTTCTTTCCATCTCTTCTATCCATCTCTCCATCCTTCCATCTCTTTTATCCATTATTATTCCTTCCACTCCCTTTCCCATCTCTACACATCTCTTCTACTTCCTCCATCTATCCCTCCTTCCTTCTACCCCTACCCTCTATTCTTTTCTTGATCTATCTCTCCCTTCCTCCATCCATCTCCTCTATTATCCCTCTTTTTTGTCCCTCCTCCTATCTCTCCCTCTAACCTTCCTTTCACTCCTCCTTCTGTGTCCTTTACCTATCCTTCCACCTTTCCACATCTCCTTTATACATCCCTCCCTTCTTTCATCTCTTATATTCATTCTTTTCTCCTTCCATCCTCTCTATCCACCCCTCCTGCCCTCCATCTATCCTTACATCCATCCATCCATCTCCTCCATCCGTCCCTCCTTCTTTCCGTCCCCTTTATCCTTCTATTCCTGCTTCCTTCCATCCATTCTTCTATCCTATTCCTCCTTCCACCTATGTCCTCCATTCCTCCCTCTTTTCATCCATCCCCTCTATCCCTCCTTCTACCCATCTCCTCCACCTGTCCCTCCCTCTTTCCATCCCCTTTATCCTTCTATTCTTCCTTCCATCAATCTCCTCCATTCCTCCTTCCTTCCATCCATTTCTCTATCCTATTCCTCCTTCCATCTATCTCTTCCATTCCTCCCTCCTTCCATCCATCCCCTCTATCCCTCCTTCTATCTCCTCCATCCATCCACCCATCCACTCACCCTTCCATCCCCTTTATCCTTCCATTCCTCCTTCCATCCATCTCCTCCATTCCTCCTTCCTTCCATCCATTCCTCTATCCTATGCCTCCTTCCATCCATCTTCTCATCCCTTCTTCATTCCATCCACCTCCCCCTGCCTGTCCTCTACCTGCTCTCTTCCCCTCTTCTCCTTTTTCCTCTCCTGGGCTCAGGTGCAACTGCTCGCAGAACGTTCGGAGGCCACGCGGGCTCGGGTGTCTCGCCTGGTGGCCGCTATCGTGCTGCTTTTTGCTGTGTGCTGGGGCCCCATCCAGCTCTACATCCTCCTCCAGACCTTTAGTCCCGGCTTTCAACGCGACTTTGCTGCCTACAAGGTGAAGATCTGGGCGCACTGCATGTCCTACAGTAACTCCTCCCTCAACCCCGTGCTTTATGCCTTCCTGGGAGCCAACTTCCGCAAGGCCTTCCATAAGATCTGTCCTCTGGCTGGGCGTGTGGGCAGTGCCAGTGTCCCCAGCGCCAACCTCCATACCGAGCTGCACTTTGTGTCCCCTGGACCCCCAGCCTCGCTCCACCAGCCCCAGCCAGAGGGAGAGGTCCCAGCCCCAGTGGTCCAGTGAGGCCCGATGGTCTGCTAGCATTGCTTTGGAGAAGGGCAGCCCCACCCTGGAACCAACCACTCACTCACTACATAGGCCTTGAGCCTCCTGACTGATAGACTCTCTGCCAGAGGCCGTAGGACAGACAGCCAAGGATCTTGGCCTCAGAGAATTCCCAGTCTAGTAGGAGAGACAAGATTCACTTAAAGGAAATCAGAACAGGACGGCCCCTATCCAGTACTAGGGGGTTGGTTCAGATTCTAAAGCCTAGAACTGCAGAGCTGGGAGGAAGGAGCCTTGGAAACCACTTAACTCACCTTTTCTCCCCAATTGCAAATGCCCCTCACTCTGCTCCCATTACTTGGCATATATTTTTGTATTTACGTCTCTGTGTTAATATTGTTTCCTACCCCTCCCAATACAGCATACATTCCTTGAAGGCAGATAATGCTTCATTTTTTTGTCTTTCTATTCCTAGAGCCTAGTATAGTATTAGGCACACAGTAAGCATTTAATTTATGTTTTCTTGTGGAATGAATGAATGATATAGAAGGGGGAAGAGGCCAGAGAGAGGAGGGAACTTTTGTCCACGGCTACACAAGGGAGTCAATGACATTTCCAAGGCAAGAACCCAAGTCTCTGGGCTCCCAGTCTAGGGTTCTTTCAGATCCAGATGTTCATCTAGTGGTGAAATGCACCCCTCCCGCCTCCCCCCAAAAAGAGGTCAAAATCTTAACTAAACCAGACTGCAGGCTCACAATGTGCCACTAGATGTCACTGTTCACTCACCGAAAATCCTCCAGAGGCCAGGACTGACGCCGTCCCAAGAATCCTGGAGAGACGTTCGTCCCTGGCTCCCAGAGCCCATGGGCAGCTCCCAAGGTATACACAGGAGTTTGGGCTCCCACTAGGTTTCTTCCTACAGGTTCTCCTTCCTTGTCACTTCAGCCAGACAGCTGGTAAGGGTAACACACTGCAAATTCCATTTTAATCTGCATTTGGACAGCTCCCTGGGTTCAAAGCCCTTCTCTAACACCAAGAATCATAAGAATGCCAGACCCCAACAGCAGCATGCTTCCTACTCACCCCCCCTTAGCCCGTGTTTGTGGAATGAATAAATGAGAGTATTGCAATGGGATCCTGGGCAAATCACCTAACGTTTCTGGTCTCAGGCAGGAGGATACTAAGAGGCTCGGACCTCCTCTGGGGTTTAAGGGACTCAGACGTGACCCAGACTTCTATGTCAATGCCTTGGTATATTGTGTATACCAGGACAGAGGGAGCTGGCCTAAGGAAAGGGAAGGATCAGATGAGATAATCTATGAAAAGTGATTTGCAAATATTATGTTATTTGTGTCGAGTAGGATAGAGGAGGAAGTTTGTTCATTTGCTCTAGGGAATCACCAGCCTGCCTAGCCTGGGTGGGAGGACTAGCTTGCCTTTGCTTGGGCTGTTTTCTGGCCACTGGAGAGGGGAGGTTAGGCTGGTGGGTGAGACATGAGGGAGGGAGGGAGAGAGGAGGGCACAAGATAGGGAGAGTGAGAAACAGGCTGGGAAGAAGCCAAGCAAGGCGACCGTAGAAAGGGTCCCACAGACAGAGGGGTTCAACAGAAAGACAAGCATGGGATGTCAGAGCTAGCATGGACCTTAGAATACAGAATATTAGAGCTGGGCTGGCCTTTCAGAGTTGACCTCGTCCGACCCCTAGAGAAGTTAAGTGACTTGCCCAAGGTCACGCAATTAGTAAGTAGGGTCATAGCTTTATAGCCGGATAGGGACCTCAAAAATCACTGAGTCCAATCCCCTCCTTTTATCAGTGAAGAAACTGAGGCAAGTCAAGTGACTTGCCCAAGGTCACACAGCTAGCAAGTTCAAACCCAGATTTGCCGACTACAGATCTGTTCTATTTCCGCCCACCATGGTGAAAGGCTATCAGGTCCATTTTACAGATGAAGAAACTGAGGCCCCAACACAGAAAATGGTTTGCGGCAAGTCAGCAGACACCTACTTCCATGTCCAGCCCAGGCTCTTCCCCTGCAGCGCCTGTCCGTGGGTCTTCCCAAGGGCCACTCCATCCGTAATGGTCTGTGGTCCTTTGGACTTTTGGCACCCTGGGGAGTGATGGGATCAGCTGTCAGGCTGTTTATAAATTCCCATCTTGGGACTCCCTCTCTGTGAAGTCAGTCTGGCCCCAGGTTATAAATAGAGAGGGCGCCACCCTGTCCCCACCCTCATCTACAGAGACAGCTGTGTATTTATATAGCACTCGATTTCAGTGATGGCCCTGCTGCCGTCCCCACCCCCACCTCATAGCCCAACTCAGAGAGAGAGGTGTCCCAACCTGGGATTGCACAGCCACTGTTTATACCCTATCTCCAACTCCCAGCAGCTTGTCCCAGAAGAACAAACCCTTGGCTTAAGGTCTGAAGTCCTAGGTTTAAGTCCTCACTTGGGGCAAATCACTTAGGACTTCCAGCCAAGTGTCTTCCTGAACTGGAAGGCAGACCACCTAGAATCCATATGCCTACTCCAGTAAAACCCTGAAGTGTGCAAAAGACTGAATAATGATCAAGAACTCCAAGGAGACACTAGAGTAGGTGCCTCCTCCCACCCCAGAACTGCCAGAAGCCCCAGGGCCAGTAGAAAGGGGCCCCCTAGCAAAGCTGGCATGTCCAGGCTCAGGGCAGCCTTCCACCTTAACCAGAGCAAACCGGACACTAGAGTAGGCTGCAAGGCTCTGTGTCTACAGAGGCACCAAGAGTAGAGCAGAGGGCTCCCCAAAATGGCCAGGGGGGGACCTTTGCAAACAAGCCCTGGACAGCCTTAGGCCTAGACACTGCCTGGTACTCATACAGGATTCATCCTCAGCCCAGGGGCCTTGAGGTTCCTAATACTGTCCTGATATGCCACAGAGGGCCCTGGAGATTCAATATTCTGAACCTCAAAAATGAGGGGCAGAAACTAACCCTGGAAGGTGGAGGGAGTTTAGTGCAGAAACCCAGGGCCAGATCTAACCTAACCACCCTACCCTAAAGTGCAGCAAGGGTAAAGCCTGGCCTTGGCACAAGGCCCCAGCTCAGGGACTAGAGCTGAAGAGAGGAGTAAACCAAATAAAACACCAACCAGTTTAAAAAAAAAAAGTGATTGCAAATCTCAATATCTTCCCAAAAGAAGAGAATAATTGGCTAACAACTGTAAGCATAAAGACCCAAAGAGGAGGAAAATGGACTGTCCATAAGGATTGCATGGATACTGAGAAAAAATGAAATGAGAAAAAAATAATGAAAAAAGTCCAGGAGGGAAAAATTGGAAGGAAAACAAATACCTTCTTCATCCTAGAAATGCGCTCTCTGAAAATTAGACTAGAGCAAAGAGAAACCAATGACTCCATGAGGGAGTCAGAAATATTAGGCCAAAATCAAAAGATGGAAAAAATAGGAGAAAATGTACGAGGTTTGATATCAAAAAACGCCTAATCCTGAAAACAAGTCAAGGGGAGACATTTTGAGAATCGTGGGACTCCTTAAAAAATATAATAAAAAAAAACTACTATATTTCAAGAAATCATAAATGAAACCTGCCCAGATCTATTAGGACTTGAAGATAAGTCATGTAGGCTCTCTGCCAGGCTTCCAGTTCCTCATCTGTGAAAGGTCAGAAGTTGATAAATGCATGTAAACACAAAGGTGTTGAAATCATCCCCATTTGACAGAAGAAGAAACTGAGACATAAAAAAGGGAAGTCACTCAAGAAGACAAAGCCAGGATCAGGCTGAGAACCCGGGCCTCCCAATTCCCAGCCTAGGATTCTCTCCACTGTATTCTGTGCCTTTCCAACAGGCTTTTAAAAATGGGTCAACTCACAGCGTGAAAGAGATGGGTATAGGGGAAGGGAGAACATATTTTTAAGAATCCTTCCAAGTCAGAGCTGGAGGGGACCTTGGACCAACTCCCTTAGTTTACAGATGGGGAAATTGAGACTTGGAAAAGTAAGGGCTTTGCTGGGGGTCATAAGCACACACTTAAGACCAGGCCTTCAGATTCCTAGCCTGCGCTCTCTGGACCTGCTCTACATTGCAGTATAGTAGGTCAAGAAATCCAATGGTGTGACTTCTTCCACCCCAGATCTGCACAGGGGCTCAGCCAGAAGCCCCAAGGCAATAGGAAAGGGGGAAATCCACACCAGAGCAGGGTAGCCTGTCTACGGAGTCAGAGGACTTGAGTTTGAATCCTGCTGTTCCAACTTAATGACCTTGGATAAGTTATATGCCTTCTCGGGGTCACCTTTCACTCCTAAACTCCCCTCACCCCAGCTCAGAGGTCCCCTTTCTATCTCTGGCTACCTAGGATGAGCTAAGACCATTCACTTCTCCAATCTGTTTGCCCGGAGCTGAATGGGGAGTGGGGGTTGCGCTCCCTCCACGTCTCCTCCCCCTTTCCCTCCCTCCAGAGGCTCCCACAACTCTCTTCTCTTCCCAGCCT